CTACAATAATTCTTTTATATACACAGTATATATTCTTCTCTCGTTGTACCTTTACGTACTACAAAAACAAAAACAGAAATATTTATTATACAACAAGTCCTAATCACTTTCTCAGCGATTTTATTAATTAAAGCTAGAGGCATCCTCTATCAAATGATTATTATTATGTTCGCACGCGCTGAGGTAGTCTCAATGAATAACAGTAACACAGAAAATTGTTACAACTACATATACAAATACCGATGGAAATATTTATAAAAATCCCATTTATTTTAAGCGTAGATTTAATATACAGGCTAGTTGGCCAGATATTACCATCTCGATTTTCGTTATTATCATACGTACTAAAGAATGTTTATATGTAATGGTCATGGGTGGGTACTAAGCTTCATCGATCAGTGCAGGAATAACTATACAATCCCATTTAAAAAAATTTTTGATAATCTTCATGTCTCTTCTATGTGTCCATTTACAAAATAGTTCACAACACCAGAATCTGCCTCTCTCGAAACCATTCAACATTACATATAAACATTCTTTGTTACGTATAATAATAATGATGAAAATCGAGATGATAATATCTGGTGGACCAGCCTGCACATATATATATACCTATACATACATATTATAGTATACAGGACTCTTAGACTTGGAAAATCTGTGAAGCTCCTTCAAAACTATGTGTTTCACCTCGTTAGTTCACAATATTCAACGTTCCTTGTGATTCTAGTATTCATTAAATTTATATGCAAAATGAGACCACCTCAGAGAGTTTAGTGTCACGTTCTAAAAAATATTTTTAACAAGAAAATTAAATTTACAAAAAAGTATCGAGTGCGGCGAGTCAACCGCCGCTTAGAATTAAATAACATTCGGTTGATCCGGGATGAGAGACGCGAAAAATGTACTGAAGAATGTCCAAGTGAACGCGAGTGCACCAGGCCGCTCCTCTTCGTGTTCCTCGTTCGCGTTTGTTCTCGCCTCTGCTTGTATGGTCGGCACCGGACCGTTTTGCTGCTGTACCACGGGCTGAGGAGCCGGAGCTTCATTTTGCAATTGCATTTGATTATTGTTCTCCATCCGATCTACTCTGGCGTTATTATTTTCAGGTAAAAGAATCGGTTGTACCCGGAAGAAACCACCCTGATATCTGTAAAACATTCATCTCCTCGTACATTGATTCCCTTTTATGCTTGTGTATAACGTAATAAATATGTAACTTACAAATACATTGCGAAACCAAGAAACGTGACAATAAGAAATCTCAGAGGGGACGAATAAAAGTATACTATAGTGAATAGAACGATAATTCTGGACAACATGTACGAAACATCTAGCCAATCCCTGTTAAATGCGCCATCGTCCCCGACACCATTATTCCCACCATTGGCATCGGCTTCTTGAGCAGCAGGTTGTTGTTGTTGTTGTTGTTCATCACCCACATTGTTGTTATTGTTTAAGTTATTTGCATGTGGATTTTGAACACTGTCATTCGTATTAATATTCGTTTGCTGAACGTACGGAATGCTGGTCTGTAATTGTATTCCTTGTGCTGCCATCCTATTAAAACATTATAAATGGACACGTTGATTATATCTCGAAACTACCGAAGCATAGTACTAGCCACTTACAATTGCATGTATTGCGTAAAGTAATGAGTGTACGCTTGCTGCATCCATGCCATTTGTTGACTATTCCTTGGATCATAATATTGTGTAGAGTACAGCTGCGCAGGAGCATGCTGCATTGCAATATTGTTCACATTCTGACTTTGATTTTGTACATTATTTCCACTATTTAATCTGCTTTGCTCCGTCGTACTTCTTGCAGTGACATTCGTATTTTCCACAGGTTGGCCAGTCACAGTTTTATTTGCAGGCGTCTTTTGCATGGCACAGACTAAGTGAACTATATAGGTCTGATTCTCTTGTCCATCGCAGTGCCTTAGTACATCTTTCAAGTATGCAGAATCATTTAATAATTGCCCCGAATATATAAGTTTTTGGCTTGCCCGTTCCTGAGGATACAAATCATTCATTAATCTCTGTTTATAATGTGTCATGGTATTATGACAGGTCGCAGGCTTAACGAAAATGTTATTTTACTGCTGATGATTTAGTCATATTCAGTTATAGCTGGCAACGAATAGAACGTTATCTCGAACTGATAACAAAAATTAACTGCGTTTTAAAGGTTTACGTCTGTACGATACAAAACTCGAAAACAATATTTTAAATGAAAAATGTTCGCAATACTGTATGTACTTTCAAATAAAGGTATCGTTAATCGTTCATTGCTTTCACCAGAAATCAACAGTCTGCGACTTTCACTAAATTTCATGCGATAGAAAAAAAGAGTACATGCAACAGAACTTACTGGTTTACTAGGATAAACGTCGGATAAATGTTCTTTCAATTGGCCGACAGACCACCCAATATCACAATTCACAATTTGATCTTTAATCTGCTGATTCGGCGCTTTTACTATTACTTTTACGGCCGTTCCGTCCATCGTCGAAAAAAATGTTTCTCCTTCGGGTCTCGTTCGATCAGCTGTTCCCACTGTCAATTATGCACACGTACACGACGGACAGTATTATATATATTTAATTAACGATGCTACCGAGGCGAGCTTGCGATATCTCTTTCCGTGTTCTTGAAATTTTATAGGACCGCGTTGTCTCGCCTGTCAGTTCAGTTCGCCGACTTACGATAAATTCCCCTCCTCGTATCGTTTATTTGTTGTGCCACGATTAGAACAAACTCATTGCTGATCCAGGAGCGCGTTTCCGTGACCCATATGAGTGACACGAACGGATATTTAATTGCCAATATATTTTTATAAGCGTCACTAAATGGAATCACGTATTTGGCGACTTATCATTGGTCGGAGATTACAATTTATTTATGGTTCGTTGCGAGCCGATCTTCAAGTGAATTTTTCCTTCGATCTCGCGCACATGAAAACTGCATTATCGTAGCTGCAAATTTGGCGGCAACGTAGTTGGCAATCGTTTACACCCGACTCCTGCTTCGAAGTTCTCGTTAGTTCGCGTTAGTTTATCAGTTATTGTTTGAACTGTGTTTGTGAATAAACATTAAATGTAATGAAATGTACGTATTATTTCATTTATTTCATTATCTATATCTTCGATGCGGCCACTTAATTGTTTCATTATATATTTCGACATATAAATAACGTCAGCCAGTAAATAATAGAGTAAATATAAGTTCAACTTGTCAAGTATACAATCTATAATTACATAGGAAATTTACAATTGTTATTGTTTTAAATTCATTCGTTTCGTTAGTTCAGATAAATATTTCTGCCTGTATGAAGCATTGGTATTGGTTTTGGTACTAATCACAACATATCAATGTAGCATTGTTTATTGTTAATATACTTTTAACACAATGCTTTTATGTTGCAGGGTTCCCACGAGATCTACGAGAAGTAGCTCGAGGAGGTCTTCTGTAAGTAATTCTTCTAAAACAAATAAATCACATTAACATTGATCATTTACCATTTTTAATCATATAATTTTTTTAATAACATAATTCTTATTTATTTAAAATCGTCTGGGTTTAATTAGGAACTTAATGTAGCATGATCAAATTTAACAGCTTGATTTATCATTTTAGAATTTTATTTCATAATTACTTTTATAACAATAGATACTTAAGACTCCTAAGCGTCGTCAACCTCTGACAAAGTTAAATTTCGATAATTCATCCAATGAAAGTAGTCCTGCGACAACAAAGATTAAACGACGCGTCAGTTTTGCAGAGAAGAAACATGTAAAGTGAGTTCAATACTTATTGCGCATAAGTTATAGACAGATTTGTTCCATATAGCAGAATTAATGCGTAGCAAAATTTATTGTACAGAGAATTTTGTAATTCCGTCGACCAAGGAACTGTATGGGACAATACGTATGAGGAGCACGATTTAAGTAGCATTTCTAAAGTTCCATGCGGTTCCAATGAACAACAATTTGAGGATAAAGATGTGTCCAAAGAAAGTGTTTCAATCCATAGAGAAACGAGTAATGTGCAATTTTCTTGCAATGATTCAGTCAACGAAGGTGTTAATGTAGAACAGATTAATGTACATGTTGAAGATGTAGTTGAAGATATAAGATATCAAAGCGCAATAATAGGAGCGGCATTGTCAGATCAGTTTCATGATGCTCAAGAGAATGAAAATGTATGCTCAATTGATTTGCAGCTTAAAAGTAATAGTCGTATATCTGGAAGCATTAGCGTATATCAAGATGAGACTGCAGAAATGTTAGGCGAAGTAGTAGAATTATCTCGGTCACGTGTACATAATTTGGTTTGTAATGAAATAAGCAGTAAATCTGTTCAGAGTAAATGCATGGAATTTACTCAAGGCACTTGTAATACTGAATATCTTGAATTAAATTGTATTCAAAATAATAGAACAGAAGATATAGTTAAAGATAAATCAATAAATGTGCAACAGTTTGATGCAGCAAAGGCAGATGTACGTTGCAATTTGCAGTCATATTATAATGAAACGAATCGTTGCTCTACAAATTTATTTCTAGAGGATAAAGAAAATAGGAACATTCTTCCTGATGATTCAATGGAATTCACTGAAGTTGCTCAGAAATTTCATAGGTCAACAGTAATACAGAAAACCCCAATGAATAAATACAATAATTTGACTCAGGATGAAATAACGAAAGTATTAAATATGTCTATGGAAATGACTGAGGCAGTCCCAATAAACGTACATTCTATGATCAGCGTCCAAGATAGAAATGAAACAAGCTTTAGTAATAACTTTAAGAAATTGAAATATGACCCAGAAATGTATGATACCGTTAAATTTGATGAAACAAGATATTGTGATGATGAACTAATGGAATTTACCACAGTTGTAACAACATCACCAAAATCTACAGAAGAAATTAATTTAGAACTACCTAAACGAAGTACTCAACATTTATGCTCTTCTATTTCAATAAGAAACGAGACTGATATTTTTCCGGAGAGCTGTATGACAATGACGAAGGTGGTTTCATCACTTGGTACAAACAATGATTGCGAAAATGTCGATTCAGTCATGATTAAACCAGCATCAGAAAAAACTGTAGTATTTCCAAACGCGTCGATGGAGATTACTGAAGCAGTTATGAGAGCACGAAATTTTACTCCGACGGAGGATCTGATCAAATATGCAAACTTTGTTAATGGAGATGCAAGCAAATCTCTTCCGCAAGTAGACCTACAGAAATCTATGGAATTTACAGAAGCTGTGAGCAGAGTTCAACCACACGTTGAATCGGAACTTCTATTGAAATCGATGGAAATTACAGAAGCTGTACCAAGACCTCGAACTATTGTTCGAGAAGAAGATCCACAGAAATCTATGGAATTCACAGAAGCTGTGAGCAGAGTTCAACCACATGTTCAATCGGAACTCCTATTGAAATCGATGGAAATTACAGAAGCTGTACCAAGACCTCAAACTCTTATTCGAGAAGAAGATCTACAGAAATCTATGGAATTTACAGAAGCTGTGAGCAGAGTTCCACCACATGTTGAATCGGAACTTCTATTGAAATCGATGGAAATTACAGAAGCTGTACCGAGACCTCAAACTCTTATTCGAGACGAAGATATACAGAAATCTATAGAATTTACAGAAACTGTGAGCAGAGTTCAACCACATGTTCAATCGGAACTCCTATTGAAATCGATGGAAATTACAGAAGCTGTACCGAGACCTCAAACTCTTATTCGAGACGAAGATATACAGAAATCTATAGAATTTACAGAAACTGTGAGCAGAGTTCAACCACATGTTCAATCGGAACTCCTATTGAAATCGATGGAAATTACAGAAGCTGTACCGAGACCTCAAACTCTTATTCGAGACGAAGATATACAGAAATCTATAGAATTTACAGAAACTGTGAGCAGAGTTCAACCACATGTTCAATCGGAACTCCTATTGAAATCGATGGAAATTACAGAAGCTGTACCGAGACCTCAAACTCTTATTCGAGACGAAGATATACAGAAATCTATAGAATTTACAGAAACTGTGAGCAGAGTTCAACCACATGTTCAATCGGAACTCCTATTGAAATCGATGGAAATTACAGAAGCTGTACCGAGACCTCAAACTCTTATTCGAGACGAAGATATACAGAAATCTATAGAATTTACAGAAACTGTGAGCAGAGTTCAACCACATGTTCAATCGGAACTCCTATTGAAATCGATGGAAATTACAGAAGCTGTACCAAGACCTCGAACTCTTATTCGAGAAGAAGATTCACAGAAATCTATGGAATTTACAGAAGCTGTGAGCAGAGTTCCACCACATGTTGAATCGGAACTTCTATTGAAATCGATGGAAATTACAGAAGCTGTACCGAGACCTCAAACTCTTATTCGAGACGAAGATATACAGAAATCTATAGAATTTACAGAAACTGTGAGCAGAGTTCAACCACATGTTGAACCGGAACTTTTATTGAAATCGATGGAAATTACAGAAGCTGTACCAAGACCTCGAACTCTTATTCGAGAAGAAGATTCACAGAAATCTATGGAATTTACAGAAGCTGTGAGCAGAGTACAACCGTACGTTGAGTCGGAAACTCGATTGAAATCAATGGAAATCATAGAAACTCCGTTTAGTGCGGAAACTCGTGTTCAAAAAGAAGATTTACAAAAATCTGTGGAGATCGTTGAGTCTGTAATCCAAGAACGGAGTCCAATTCGCACAAAAGATGCTGATGTAAATTTAACTAAAACTGAAAGGCCATTAGAAAAGATTGCAAATAGAGGTCTTACAAGTTTGTCAAATTTCGAAAAAAATGATGCTACAAATTTTGATACAATTTCAAATAAACAAAATTGCAATATGTATAAAAATTTAGAAAACGATGACGCAGAGGGATCTGTTTCAATCGAAATTCAGACTTTCGCAAATAATAAATCTAGCATGGCCTTGCATGAGTCAATGCAGCTAGAGAATTGTGCTTCAGCTGTAAAAACAAGTAATGCAGAAGTAGCTTGTGCAGCACTTAATTCTGCGTCTTCTGTAAATTCGGAGATTAAGATACCTGCGCTTACCCTAACTAAGTCATCACATCGAAGGACATACGTAATTCAACCATCAATTAACGATTGTACTTTTACAGTTAATAGGAATCGGAATAGTAGACATTGCGAAATTGACATTGATATAAATAATAAAGAAGCAAGTAGTTCTCAAGATGATGTACAAAATTCGCAAAATGATGAAGACTTCGATGTAGAAAACAGTAAAGTATTAATGCCCAGTGGTTTGGAAGACATAGAATCTATCAAACCACCTTCGTTTTCATGTTTGAATGATTTGTCAAATACACCGATGAATATTAATGAGGATCAAGAATTTATGGAAGAAGTAATATCTTTATCGAAAGATAACGATAATGACCATGAACATGCTTCGAAATTCGAGCATCCTGAAGCGAATGTATTAAGAAACGTGCCTAAATCGCAAACATTTTTAACAAAAAATTCGTCTGCTGGTAATACTTTAGGTAATTTGAAGATTGAACAAGAAGATCGAATAGCGGGAACCGATGTAATTCCGAAACCTCAATTATTAGATAATGGAGATATCAATATGGACATTCAAGTTTTGGAATGTTCGTCTTCAACGATAAACGGCGATGAGAACTCTCCTCCTCTGAATAAAGAACAAAATCTGCGACCCACCTGTACATTAAATTCTAAATTAGAAAATCAAATCGAAGTGCGCTCTTCGCCAAAAATCGAACCTGCGCACGAACGTGAATTGAAAGAAAGTAACGATGAGCCAAACGAAGCAGATGCTGAACATTATACACTTTCCGTGGAAGAGAATGTTATACGCAAGTTGAAAGTTTGCGCGAAGAGGTAAATAAATGGATTTAGTTAAGGATGAGATCAAGTTGAATATGTACTCACGAAACCGAGTCAATTTTAACAATCATGTCTCATTGCATACGTTTAATAATTATATTTGAAAAATATTCACTTTATACAAACCGAAATCCTAAGGAACCTAAATCCTAGGAATAGGTACTTATAATGTTCGAGAAGATACTTGTCTCCGTTTACCAAAGTACTTGTGAAAGCTTCTGACAAAATATCTGAACAAATTCAATTGTACGTAGGAGTTCTGTTCCTGTTTTCCGAAGTACTTAGAGACAGATCGAATTCAATCAAAGTTCGAACCCGTTCGTGAGGTACTTGATCCCATTCCTGGATCTAATACTTTGATTGTGTCGTCGATGCAGCAAGTAAATAATACAAGATTATTTTTAGCGACGATATTATTTGGGAAGTGTTCTATGAGGATCTCGATAAGAAAAAGTTGTTCGTGATCGGTTTTATATCATGCTCATTATTAGTAGTAGTATATCTGCAAGAACGTTGTAATTTTCGGTCTATTAAAGAGATTAAGTTAATATCTCGTTTACCAGGTGAGTCTGAAGGATACGTCTAAAGTAATTAGAACTTTCGGGTTTAATATAATTCCTCCATTTTTATTTATTAGAGGATGCGGACGTATTAATAAGTATGGTTCATCGGCTAATGATAGAAAAGATAGACACCACGCAGCTGTTATCTCGTTTTAGTGTTTACGATGATATTTTACCATTATTGGATTACATTTCAAAAGAAGTAAAAATAGTTATGGATTTCATGTTCGATTTGGAACGATTGAAAAATCTAAATTTAATGGAATTCACACGCGATAGGTACAAATTTATTAGAAGAGTCTATCACTTTTTCTCTTGGTTACAATATACGCATCTTACTTTTATTTTACATTATAGCGTTTCCTTCATATCACAATCGGACAGGAAAAATATTATATTAAAGGTTACAGTAAACATTAAACCGTTTGAGAAAATTGGACCTGAAGATGTTTCGGTTCACTCTCTCTTCGGTTCTTTGAGGTCAGTTTCAACGAGTTGTTGCAGACGATATTATCAAATTACTTTACTATAAAAACTGAACCATTTTACAGAGACGATAATGCCCTTAAAAAGTTGATAACGAACGTGAAAAGGGACCATAAGTTCTTGAGGAGATTCATACAGGACGTGAAGTCTTACATATCCATAGAAGAGGATTTTCTTAACCAAATATAAAAAAAGACAGACGTCGCAGGAATGAAATGCAATACTTACGATTAAATATCTGTATAATGGAATTCTTATAATTGTAAATGATGTCGTGGTAATTTTATATGTTTTATAAAAAAGATGTAAAATGTTTTATATTTTTTTAGCAGAGGTATGAGCAATAAAATTGCTTTTAAAATTATCCAGGGCGATTAAAATCCTTTTTAAACGAGCGTACATGTCGTTGCAGTTTCTTCTTGTACTCGTACGGAAAAGTGTAGGAACGTAAACGTTACAAGTACAGGTCGATCAACTAGTTCTCCGATGCAGCCGGTTTAGCCGATTCAGCTTTTTGTGCAAGCATTTGCGATCCTTTCGATAGTAGGTATCGTGTGAACAGCAGCCTTTCGCAGAAACGTATGACTTTCCGCGACTTGTTCTCAGGAAGTAACCGCCGTAGATAAATACGGTAATAATATTTTATCTATTTGTCATCTAACTAGTATATAATACAAACATCTGTATAGGAGATGTAAAAGAACATTTAATGCGTTCGGAAGCCTCCCACCGATCAATGATTACTCTTACTGTTTTTTCTGTTTAAGTGTTTCCGAATAATTTTGATAAGCGTAAAAGTAAATTACGCTGTTCAGTAATACTGTTCAGTCCTACTTTCAACTTAATGCGTTATAAACACACGGCTCGTTAAAGAAGTCAAACTTTCTTTCACCGTGGCAACGCCAGTCCTACTTGCGTGGGCGTGAAGGCCCGGTTTTACGTGATTTCGTAACGTCCACACCGATTTCCAGTATCAAAGAGCATTTTATGAAGATCCTGCAGACCTTCGGAGTCCCATCACCTCTCCCCCCTCTTATACACGAGACGAAACCCGATGACATACACGCACCATTTGTGGAATTACTGGTAGAGCAGTATACTAATCGAAAACAAATGTTTAAATAAAAAGAGGCCAAGTTTTTACGTATTCAACGTGTTGAATATAATTTCTTAGAGTGTATCGTGAACGTTTTCAGGCTTCCATCCCCGGATTCCTCGAACGACGCCTACGAAAATTCTATTTCCGGAACATCCTACGCTCTCGTTTCCTAGTCATACCTGTGTTCTATCAAACATGAACGAAGAATCATTAAAAGTTGCCGCGATCATCGAACGGAGACGCGGCGGATTCGAAAATACCGCGAGAGCTTGTTGCGTGAGGATCTCGTGAATAGCACGCGGCTCGGTTCCGAGATAAGTCTCCCGCGAAACAAGACGAGAGCGACGAAACTTGACGGAGCAGGACAACGTCGACGAACTGCACAACCTGTAACCTGGTTCGGTGACGTGCGTCGGGACCCGACGATACCTGCTCGCGGGACTATGAGAACGCGAAGCAGCAAGCCGCGGGAGCAGCAACGGCAGCGGCGTGCAAGTGGGCGTAGGGGCCAGGAGAGAGAACGTCGTCCCGTGTTCCATACATGGCTATGCTATGTGAAAACGAGAGACACAGAGAGACGGACGCACCGGCGGCGTCCCCACCGCGTGGACACGGCGGAGGCGACGTTTTCTCGGCACGGGTACCCACCGCATGCTTGGCGAACAGTGTGTGCCAGCACAACGTTGTCGTACGATCGTTCCTCATCCCGCTTTATAAACTTTACCTTCGTAATCCCTTCGTGAAAGAGAAGTGTGTCTCGAGGACGTGCAATTACGCAGGGACGGTGTCACAGGTTTTCGGAAAAAGGGAGCTCCAAGCTCGGAAGATGCACCCGCCAACACGTCACTGGCGTGGGTGTTCCTGTTCCTCTCGCTTATTTTGAATCGAAACTCGCGGCAGACAGCGTGGTCCGCTCGTACGACGCGGTTTCAAAGTTCGCACCGGGTCCGCGCCTATGGCTCTGTGACAGCTCTCTCGGTTTGGCGAGCGTGCGATTGGTCCGCTCGTGCTTCACTCACGCCGTTTACGTGTGTCTTGCCTGTATGCAACAGGCAACGTGGGTTGGATGCGTGAGTGCGCCTGCGTGAGTGCTACGACGTACCACCCGCGTGTGCGTGAGCCGCGCGTGAAGAGAAGCCGCAGGGGCCGCAAAACCCGGATCAAAGGGACACACATTGCCATAGGTAGGTGTACATCTGTATATACATAGACATACGTAGAAATCTCTGACAATGAGCCTCGGAGGTGGATGTAATCTTAGTCCCCCTCGTAATACCCATCCCTCCGATGAGACCCGTAACGCGCTTAACATGATTTTCATTCAATAGTCGGTTACTCCGAATTATAAATCAGTACTTGTAAACGATTTTAGATATGATGCACGTTTAAGTATTTAATATTATCTTTAATTGGAGTTACATTTGATTCTAAGGGAAGTATTTAATTAAACTTGATTTCTTCTTAATAGTACAATAGTTTTTTAATTATTTTTATTTATTTGTTTCTACTGGATCAAGAAATATCGCGAAGCTTTTTATCTTGATTGAAAAGCATGAAAAATAGCAACGAGTGTCCGTGGAAATCTATTTCTTCTAGAATTGAGCACGAGCTTATGAAGTTTTTTCACGAATATATTCTTGCTATATCTATCTCCTGTTTTTCGACGATCGTTTTTAGCATCCCACGAAGACGAAAACCAGTTTCACGTCCGGAGACGGACGTTGGCGAATCGTGATACGAAAGAAAGAAGGAATCGCTCAATCGATGATCATGCTTCTTCCAAAGACGTTTCTCCCGGAAAGGTCACTGTCTTTCAATCGTGGTTACACGCATACCCGTGTCCGGCGTGTCCATCGCCGGCCGTTTTCTAATTTATTTTCAAGACTCAGTTTTCTTTGATTGCCCAACGGTGAACGAGGGAAAAAGGTGCTCATTAAAAATACTACAGCCTTGTCTCTTAATGCGTCTGCATCCCACGTTTCACCTGGCGCGTTTCTATCGTTTCCATTCTCTTCATCTGAGTGAAGGGTTCCTTGCCAGATCGCTACGATCTCCCCTTTATCGATATTACTTTATCTCCTTCATTTCGTCTGCTACTGCGCCTTCAGAGCACGTTCTCGCGCTAGCTTCTCCGCAGCTAAATATCTGACTCTTCTCCTACCCATCGGCGTCCGATTTTCAAACTTCGTGAAATCGGCCAGCGTTTTCGCTTTAGGTTGCACATAGTTCAACAGTTCCTCCATTATTTCCGACTCGTGCAACGGTTTGAACTTGAGCTTGATCCTCCGTCGAAGATTTAGGACGTTATCCACAACGTTTTTTATAAATTCCAACGGAATGCCCACGGACATCTTCGCCAGCGAGGATACGTCGATATTACGATCGACTGCATGATACTTCATCAGCAGATCTTTGTAAAACATGTATAACGTGTTGTAGTCCGTGAGTGGAATCATTATGAACTTGTCGTGGATCCTGATGAAGGGTGTTGTTGCTTTATATGGTTCCGAGGAGGTCGTGAGAAATAGGATCTGAAAAGTATCACGTTCCGATGAGATCGAACGACCATGGCAAAAATCCGTGCAGCCTATATTCTTTAGAAAGTAGCTAAGGACTCCTTGGGCGAAAATAATATCGAACAATTGAATTGAATAGTTTCTGCAACAGTTATGCTTAACTTAACTAGGATTCTCGATTTAGTGTCATACATGCGGCGTCTGTTAATTTAATATTATAGGATTTCTACGCCAATGAGTAACAGTATCGGTCCGAAATCACCGGACGTTCTGAATCCTACGTTAGCTCGGTAACCACCTACGTTCCGGTTGTTCGGTAGGAGGTGTTTCATTGATGACCAGCACCGAACGATCGGGACTGTTGGAGAAAGAGAAAGAGGGGAACGCCGGCTTATTGAGCTGGTTCATTCATATTGGTGAAAGAGTTGAAACAGGAATAACAAGAATTTCATAAAGTGGGCGCTACCAGATCACCGGCTTTAATTCCATGCCAGTTTAGGCGAGCCACTCTCTGCATCGGTTGCGACACCGGCCTGCTCTTTTTAAATAAACTTTAAGGAAACAGATACCTACATTTTGATCAGATTTATAAGATTAGATGATTAGTCCGTGCGACTGTTTTTCATCTTCTTGTTCAGATCATATAGCAATCGTATCGAAATCATATATCGCGCAAGCTACCAATAGATTAATGAATAAAAATCGCACGAATTTGCGCTCATTGGTCTTGTCTCAAGTCACCTGATCGCCACGCTTGATGCTTTTCACCAGTTTAGGAAAGTGTCGCGCGAATCGTTTCGGCTTCATCAGCTTGTCCTCCGCGGACAATTTTTTCCCCCACGTCTTCTCTCCGTTGTCAATGAAGATCACAGAAGGAGCAAATTCCCGAGCTACCTTCGCAATCTTGTTGATCAGACTACGTTCGTTTCTTCGTCCCGTATATTTGTCCACCAATCCCGACGGTGTCATGTCGATTAACAGCGCCCCGACCTGTTTTTTTTTTCACTTTTAGCTCGTTGAAAATTCTTTTTGGAGGAAAGTCAGTGAAAAGAGAAACCTCGGAGCAGATCGCATTCGCTAAAAAGCTCTTCCCATGTCTCGGATGCCCGCAGATACACACGGCTCGGGTCAACGGCGCTACTTGATGAATTTCTCTCGAGCTGAGGGGCAGCACGCAGTAGTTCATCACTGTTTGTTTCACCTCACCCATTCGATACGTGTAGTCTCGAAACTCGCGATCAGCTTCATAATTTTGATATGAACGATCACCGATCCAGTCGTTGACGCAAGTTTCTGGGTAACTTTTGATGATATCAGCTCTGACTAGTTCTTTGAAAATATCTTCGGAGCCAACGTCTGCCAATGGGTCGCGTTTCTTTTTTTTCCGTTTGCCTCTACGCTTCTTTCCTGTATCAGTTTTTAAACGAGCTCAACGTTGGGAAAAAATAATCGATTGGCAAGAAAACTGGAAGCCTTTCCCAAGTTGAAGTCGTTGCGCATGCACGCCTACTACAGTTGCTATAAAAGGGCCAGTTTAACGTGTGGCAATAGTCACGTTAATTGAGTAATTATACTGTGATTATTATTTTCTATGCAAATTTCCATGGCGAAATTTTCAGGTTTTAATTGTAAGGATAAGAAATTCAATAAGTATGAGGACTCTTTTATGATGGATTAATGTACAAATTGGTTCACCAAATTTCCGTCGTTAGTATCATACGTAAATGATACCCCTGTATATCACAAAATATTCTAATAATAAATAATATTTTGAGAATACCTTCTTTAGGTACCTCCAGTGTTTTTTGATCGGCCTTGAAGTCTCTTTGCAAAGCTCTATTCAATTTTTGTAGCTCTAATCGCATCAGCTCATCGACAGCTCTCCTCATCTCCAACTGAAGCTCGTAACAAAGTTTATCTTTAATTAGATCGTGATATACTTTGCTCTGTTCGTCGTGTGAAAAGTCCCGAAAGCTCCAGTAATTGAGGAAGTCCTGATTAGCGTCCGTCAGAAGATTGAACGCCATTGTTTCTCGTATCAAAGGGATTTCTCTCTTTTTCTTTGCCTTTTTATCCGTTTTCATTTCTGCCTCCGGCTGCCCCCTTCGCGCCAAATATTCCTGAGGCGTTATGTATTCTCCCGTAGCGATTAATACGCTGCCGCCGAGTTCTTCAGCCGGATACGCGTGGAAGTGTCCAACCTCGTCGTACCACAGTATGAACCATTCCCGAATCTCGTCCGTGATGTCCTCCATGAGACCAGGACCTCTAATTTTAAACAGCTTCCGAACCACGAGTTCATCAGTAACACAGTTACATCTGTTAATTATTATTAGGGTAAGTGGAAAAAATGTTACCCTCGTTTTCTCAGTGTTTGTCGCTTTCACAATCTTTTCAGCGAATGTGGGCATCACCGTTAACTTATCCTGGAAATTTTGTTTCTCCTTCAGAAAAACTTGATTACACTTCCGGCTGGGAATCGTCATGCCTAATAACTTTTCCGTTCGATAGATCCGTTTCTTCATTTTCTTATGCGCCACGTATCTCCTCCAGGCCCGTTGTATCGTTTTAGCAGCATTTATGTAAATACTTTTGTGTAACTTTTTTGGTACTATCATTCCGACTTCTACGTTCTTAGTGTAATTATACATCCGTTGCACTATATTAGATCAAAACGTTTCTTTCATTAAATGTTTGTTTTAATGAAAATTTGAATTAATGAAAGACATCGTCTAAATGAAATTTCAATTAAAATGTGATCTGTACATCGAACTCCTACCCTCGGCTCCGACGCGACGACCCATTCTTGCTCTTTCGTGGCACTGAATCATCAATATCGTGTTGTGCATTCTCTCTTGAGCCTCTCGAGCGGCTATTTGTTCCGGTGTTTCTATAAGAATCGATGGTATCTTCGTTAGAATATCTTCTTTCGGTTTTCTTCTTCGTCCCCTTATCGTGAGTTCCTCTTGAACTTCCTCCAGCTCCGTCGGCTCCTCCTCGACTGTTATTGAAAATATGATTCCGTCGTACGACCAACCACTTTGATTGTTACCACCTTGAATAATTTACTTTTAAACGCATCTTCCATCAATGTTTGAAAACGTTCCTTGCGCTGCTCAATGATGTCTTTGCCCATCGCAGACACGGTGATTTCCACGTCGTCGGGCGTGTATTTGAACAGATTCATGAAGTCATCCGGCCACCTTGACGGTCACCAATAAATCTTTTTGTACGCGATAGAAATCTCATGAAAACAAAGTACCTACTCGTAATCGTAGTAGGTCCAGTTAACGAGTTCTCGCTTGTACTCCAGCATTCGGCCGACGGCACAGTCCAGAACTCGTTTTATCAGGTCTCGTTTCTGTGTCTGTACCATTTGATCATGGCAAACTATTAGCCTTTTTACTAGATTCCGGTATCTAAATATGCGATCAAATCAATCTGTAAGTTGACCGCATACGTTAATATCCTATCCTAGGAAATTTATGTTCATGGGAGAAAAAGAGTCGGTCAATCCCTCCCTTTGAACCGGGAACTGAACTCGAGGACTTCAGCTTTCCGGTCGATCGCTTTAGCAATTAAACGATTCAACTGACCGACGACTCAAATCCTCCCAATCGGACTACCGATTCCCTACATCTTCAAAATTATTTTATCTGCAATACGATTAATAGCAACTGACGATAGGATAAACTCGATGAAGAATTCATACTTGAGATATAACGGGAGCAATTCATCCAAACACTGTTTTGCATTTCTCTTCCGTGTTTGACCCTGCAACCTTTTGTCCAGCTGTAGCAGTTTTTCTAAATCGTCTCTCGCTACGAGCCATATCTCCTTGTAATAGGCATGCGACATTTTTCTCAATGATTTTGATGCGTTGCTAGAATTACTATGTTTTGTCCATTTTCGGGTTGTAAATTTTTGGATGGCCGGGAATTGGATTAGCCTAAATTGCACATGGTATTGAAATGTCAAGGCAAAGGAAACGGAACGAAATTCAGTCGGCACTCGTTTTACGACGATCTATTTCAATAAGGAGTTCCTATCCACCTTTTCAGCTTCTGTAATTTCCATAAACCTCTGCAGATCTTCCACTCAAGGAGGAGCAAATAACTTACTTGGATTTACGAACGGGATGTTTTAAATTTTTATTAGTGACCCCAATAAAGAAATTAAAAAATGCGACATTTATTTTTCACCTCAGAATTTGAACCAATAAAAATTTTTAACAAATCTTTTTATACATTGCATATATTTTATATATTTCTGCATACCACAGAGAAGTATGTTATTTGCTTCGGTATTAAGAAAGTTACTCCACGTTGGAGTGACTTAACGTAGCATCCATGAAGATGGGTACGCGTACGTTCTATTCTTCATGGTAGCATCGCTCGCTTCCTTTTTAATATTCGATATTGGATATTTCAGGATGCTGTGGAGGTCCGAATGCCTGGTAATCTTATTGTTAGCAACAACAGCGTGGTGCATGGCCGCAACGATGGACGATTTCCGGGAAGACGGTGCGACCACCAACGCGGTGATCTCGACCACCTCGATACCGATAACAACCACAACGGTATCCACCTTAAATAAAGTCGAGGGTACGCTGGTTATTAATTCGTCAAACACCGTGAAAACTGTGAACGATGGAAATATTCAAGACTCATCCCACGCGTCCTCGCCCGACACGGTTTGGGAGTGTCCAAATATTACAAAAGCAGGCATCGAGTGCTCCTGCGACTTTCCACATACGTTGAGATGCACCGGCGATAGGACAGCGCTGCAGGTAATTATTGTCAAGAGTAAATTGAAACAGCAGTACAGGGAAGAGGAGTTTGTTAAACACAAAGAAGTTCTCCGCGTTTTGCAAGTAATTTAAAAGCATCGCGACGATCGAATTCATTGTAGATTTATTATATTATCGAGGTCAGCGATTTTTGAAACTATCCACCAACATAGGCGAGCGTGGGTGTACAGGCTGCCAATGAAATACAAGCCGCATTGTCCAAGAGACTATTGTGCGGCCTCTCTTCTGTCCCGTGTGCGCTCGCTGCTTCGAATGTCCCGTTACCGGTTACACCGGCGAACAATCCTATCTCACAATGCCACCCGCGTGTCAAATGATCCTTGTTACGCAACGCATGATGACTAATTAAATTTGTCACTACCTCGAATGATCCGTAGCGAGCGCTAATCTGATTGTAAGACACGAAATCTGAACCGAGTTCAGTAGTCGAATCTATGGTTGCACGGAGTTTGATTTTTGCCCAGACCATCAGCAGACACTTAAGGTTCAGTCGACCAGGGATGATCTCTCTGCTGGACGTGACGGTGACAGGAATTTCCTTACTACCAGCACGTTTCCTAGAGGATGTCGCGCTCCACGGGCTCGTCATATCCACCGGTGAATTAAGACGCGTTCACGAAAATGCGTTCATTGGCATCGTAACACCTCTTCAAGCACTGGGACTCCCGAACAATCTGTTAGATTCCGTTCCAACAGCTGCTCTTTCGTACCTGATCGGTCTGGAGAAGCTGGATTTGTCCCAGAATAAGCTAAAGACTTTGGAAGCTGACTCCTTTAAGGTAAAATTTGCATTACAATATGTAAATTAACTTCTATGTGTCAATATATGAAAAAACTTCTTTCATTTCCTTGCAATGTTGTACAGCGTTATTAAATATTCCAGGGCTTGTCAAATTTGACTTATTTAGACTTGTGCGATAATTTACTGTCGCAATTATCGCCCCAAGTGTTCGCTGCCCTTCCTACACTGCGGTCTTTGAGGATGCGCGGCAACCGTCTAAGCGTATCAGCGTTGTCGGCACTCAGGGGTTTGAGGAGTCTGGAGGAACTCGATTTGTCGAATAACTTATTGTTAGGTCCGATGGGCCCGAATCTCCTTCCCCAAATGCCGCGGTTACGTACCCTGACCATATCCGAAAACGAGCTGATAAATGTACAGCAAGGAGCCCTCCTAGGAGTGAGGAATTTAACTTCTCTCAGTTTGAGTCATAATCAGGTAAATTAATTAATAAGATGATATGAGCCAAATGTCAGAGTGAATTGAAATTATAATATCTAATAAAGAGGATAAAGACCCGTAGATAAAATTTTACATTCAGGATTCTTTATCCCATCTCTTCTCCCCTAAAAGTATCAGCTCATTCCAATATTTGAGTCATATCGTACTATACTTATTAATAATGACAGGAAAAGCAATAAGTATCGAAAACGTTTATTTTTTTTATAGATCGATGTATTAGAGGATCATTCGTTTAAGTATTTGTCGACCCTTATCAGGCTTGATTTGGCGAACAATCGGATCGTTGCTGTGTCGAGCGCTTCCCTAGCGCACTTGGAGAAATTGACGACTCTGGACCTGACGCACAATTTCTTGCGATCCCTGACAGCCGACTTGGTAGTGCCTTTAAAGAGCCTTCAAGATCTGCGTCTCGATGATAACGATATCACGATGGTTGCCAGCGATGTACCCACTTCCAAGCTGCGACTTAAAAGACTCTCCTTGGCAGATAATCCATTAAACTGTGATTGCACGCTTTTAGAATTTGCAAATTGGTTGAGCAACTCGAGCTTGAACGAGGAGGACAAGTCCTCCGCGGTATGTGCAACTCCGCCCGCATTGGAAAACGGTATATTGACGCAAGTTTCTCCCGGAAGTCTCCTCTGCGGGGAACCGACGCCACCGATTATGACCAGACTCCCCTTGGCTGCTGCTCAATTAACATTAAAAGAGTTTCACTATGACAAATCGACTGGTATCAACCTTCTGTGGCATGTAGAGCCGTGTACGGAGCGATACACATGCGACACCTTAATCGTCTACGAGACTATAGATGACAACGAGGTACAAATGGATTCCAGTTCGCTTCATTGCGATTCACGTATGATGAGAGATCCTTGTTCACTTCCGGTCGCCATACCTGGTTCGTTGCACCTGCAACCGGGTCATAAATATCGCTACTGCGTGGTACTATTAGTGCCAACCAGCTACGACGACGTTTCCTTGGGTTTGGGTTGCAGTGACGTGATCACTCTGGAGGAGACTAAACGGGAACCGCAACAAGACGAAGAACTTGAGGTATCAGAGCCCTCGGTAGCTTTAGACATCAGAATAACTGGTGTGCACGTGAATATGTCGGAGCAAGGCTTTTTACACGTTGACGTCATCTTATCGACCTCGAAGAAGTCGAACTTACCAGGATGCGAGTTATCGGTCGTTGTTTTCGACGCTGAATCCGCGGTGCATAAGCAGAAGCTTAACTGCAGCTTGACTTTCATGACGTTGTCCGTTTTGTTACCCGGTCGCTACAAAGTCTGCGCGAGCCTCGACGAAGTCAACGAGGAGGACGTTATTGAGAATTTCATAGACAACCGCGATAGACTGCGTTGCGTTGAAGTCCAACGATTTAAGCAAAATACAGAGATCATTATTCTGGCGATAATAGGCGCCAGTTGCGCGCTGTTAATCACGCTCGCGGTGATCGGTAAGAGCGTCGCGAAGAGAGTGAGACATCCTAGAATACAGACGCAGTGTTTCCTACCTGCACAGGAATTCGAGATCACTCACAAAGCGCATTATATTAAATTGTTAGCCACAACGAAAGTTTAATTTACTCTATAGTTTCCAGTTTTTGTAAATAATTACAGCTTATCGTTGTTAACTATTTGAAAGTGGGAATTAAGGATGTACTGGCTATACAGTCAATCCCAAAAGTTTATGCACTTCAGAAACGCATTTTTTAAAAAGAAATCAGACGTCGGAAGAACATTGCTAATAATAAACCACAAAAAAAAATTTTCGATTTTTCCGAGATTTTTCCAAGGGGTACACCTTCAATTTCTTCCAAATTTTCATTTTTTGCCAATAACTCCTAAACCGTTGGACTTACGGGAAAATTGTATAGAACCTTTCTTGTAGAGGACGACGAGATCTACAATTTCTGTATACAAGTTTCTTGAT